AGAAAAAAAAAATTCAAGTATGCATGCTGAACATGAACATATGTACATTTATTTGTATATGTTTTGTGTTCAATCCTTTTTTTCAGGACATTCACATCGTCGTGAGATGTCGAATTCAGCATGAAGATTTACTTGAAAATAGAAAAAAAAGTGGGGAAAAAAGTCGAAAGAAAGTGTTTTGAAAAGGATGTGCTTGCTTCTTTATTGTTCTAAGGTAGTATTTACATTTTCATAGGAAAGACAAAGAAGAAGAAGAAGAAGAAGAAGAAAAAACAATTGCTTGAAAACATCGTTCGAGTGCATCACATGTAGCGTCATTTTGGTATTCCTTAGTCACGAGCTAGAGAAACAAGCGGAACAAATAATAGATTCGACGCTTCTTTCTTTTGAAATGTGTGCTTTTTCCCCGTTTTGTTTTTATTTTTTCCTGTCTTTGTATGTTCACAGGATAAAACATGAATGGAACAAGGAATAAATAAATGAGAGCCATTTGGCTCAAAACACACAAACGTGCAGCTCAGTTGCAAACACAGTTCTTTTTCACTTCATAGAATCCTTATTAAAATAAATGAAAGAACATGCTCATTCTTCTTCATTCTTTGTGCAGTTTTCTTTTTCTGCTGCTGTTGAATCTTTTTTTTTTTCGTGTCGAAAGAGTTTTTTTTTTCTCCTTTTGTCTGAGAAAAATCATTGTCAAAAAAAAACGGCGAGTCACAAAAATCTCATGCAATCACTCTCTGCATTAAATCCAACGAGAATCGCATGGTTTTCGGCTCGAAAACCTGACATCATCCAAGAGAAAATGTCGCTCTCCGTTAAACAGCATTTAGAACAAAATGTTCAATAGAAAATCAGATGTTCAACCAAAAATATAAGGAATGGTAAGAGTGACAAAGAAGTCCAAAATATAAAAAATCCATTAAAATTGTCGATGGTGATTTGACCATCGTCTTCGTCTCTGTATTTAAATTCCAGTCGAACTTTAGTGTTATTTAGCCACTTTGCAATGAGTCTATTGGCCTTGGCCACATCGATAAATGTGTCGTCCGATTGATTTTCGCAGTTGCTAGGGAGTTTAAAATATTACGTTAAAATTTGATTTTTTTCTTGTAAAAATTTACCATAAACTCTGTACTGAGGTATGTACTGTTGTAATTGTAAAATACCTGTAAGCAAGGGAGAAACGAATACGTATGTCACAGTCTTTTTGCATTTCATTTAATCGAAAAACATCCAATTAAAGTTTTATGAGCTTTCCGTATCAGCAGCATTTGCATCATTGCGAATACATAAACAATTCATAGACATTTTTAATGAGGTAAATAATAATGAAAACTTCAACTCTTCTTTATTTTACCCGAAAAAAAGAGCACTCGAATGAACTCAAAATATTATGTCTTGAAAGTAATTTCAAAGAAAAAGCATAAAATAGTTTGCAGTTTTTAAGCATCTCTTATTCATCAATTGGGTAACTGTTCACTTGAAAGGTTTTTTTTATGGCAATATTTGAATCTCTTTCTACTCCAACGGCACATTATAAAGTTTATCATAAATTCGCATTTTCCCTTTTTTTGTCTTGTTCTCAATAATTTTGGTAGACTTTTACAGGAGGATACAATACAGATTGAAAGTTGTGTGTAAGGCGGAAAGAAAATGATTCGAAAAATTGAACTTGATGGAAAGTTGTTTGTAGCAGAAATCTTGTATTTATTATGCATACACGGATTTTGCATTTAAAATTTAAAGTGAGCAAAATCAACGACTTTACAATGAACAACAAAAAGAACCCGGCTTGTGAAGAGGAAAATTTCCGGAAAAAAAAAATTGAATACTCATTGTTATACAAAGAATACTCATTTGATATTCGGAAGGTGGCAGAGTTTCATCGTGCGCGAACACAATGAGAAACTTTTTCGCTTATAATCCAATTATATTTCCCAGATTTGTTACTTTTCAATTTTGGTTGGTAGCCTGTGTTATTATACACCTTAAGAAACTTTTCGTAAACAGGCGGAGAGAAAAAAAATGAAGCACTTTTTTTCAGCTGGCAATATTCCGGCGAATGCGCGCGAAATTCATTAAGCAATTACCCATCAGTTAAGGTTAAAATATTTAAGAAGCAAAGAATTTTAAATATATTTTCGACGTTATTCAAACAGACAGAGAAACGAAGAATTCCATCGTAGGAACATAATAAGAATTTTTCAAACGCATTTTTTTCTTCACGCAGAGAGTGAGAAAAATCATATCGGAAAAGTACATTAAAATACTATCTAAGAATGTTAAATTTTCGGTCGATAATAATACTACTTTGGAATTTCCCTCTTAACTTCGGATCGAGTAAAATAGTGTGCAATTACTTGCATCTTGGAATTTAGTGGGAAAAGCGTTGTCTGTGTGTAGGAATGGCGTATTCGTCCAACGTTCATTCGAGTGTATTTCCCCTTCATATTATATATTAGTGCGCACGCTAGCCACACTAGCCACAGAGAAGCAACAAATGGATGGCTCTGGTTGTTATTTATTATCGGCTTTAGCAGCGCCAACATTTCATTAAAGATAAATGGTGTGCCTGGGAAATCAGGATACGATCGGATTGTTTGGATGAAGGAGTGAGAGAGAGAGAGAGAGAGAGAGAGAGAGAGAGAGAGAGAAATAGAATAAAAATGGGAGCTGGCAAACGAACAAGAGCAAGTGAACGAGAAAAAAAAAAACATCAAAACCAACACATTGGTTTTGATGCAACGACCACATTAGATTCATACGTATATACTAGAAATGGCTTGCGCATATTTGCGACCAATTTCGGAATTTATTACGTTTCCAGCACATTATTAGAACACCATATGGCTAATCATTTCTTCATTGCGACCTATGGAATTTTATAGTTGGCAAATGCAGTCAGTCGCACGCTCGCAAACCGATTTACAAGTGTGTTCAAATTCAACGGTGTTTTACGGTGTGTAGTGTGTAGTAACTGTTTGGAAATACATAGAACACACGTAGAAAGTTCTGCTGTCATGCAGAGAAAAACGGAGAAACGGAGCAGGAGACAAAAAGTTTTAACTTATTTGACTTTGTGTTTGCTGTCGACAACTGTCAATTTTAACTTCTACATTCTGACGACCAAGTAGCTAGCAGAAATTACTCTGGCTTTGCCGAGATCTCACAATGACCTCAATTAAATGAGACTACATGACGATATTTGCACACAGTCACAGCCACACACACTCTGCAATGAATTTTATGTCTCCCTCGATATGATTTATAACACAAAAGCTAAGTATATTATTGCTTATAGCATTCTAATGTAACATTTAATGAAATTGATTGCCTGCTATTTTAGTCAATGTGTAACACGGCTTGTGCCAATGTGTAACACTTGCATTGCACATCATTGTTTCCGGTTTTTGACTTTAATAATTTTGCCAGCAACGAAATAGTAGTGTCTTGAATGTGTTACCCAGTTCATTTTGCCCACTCTCTCCTTCTCTTTTGCAAAAAGGTGAACGGGGCGAAAAGCGAGACACATTTCATATTTATTGGATGGGGAATACGATGCAGTCATCGGTGGGGTTTTCGTAGATTTCTACCGAATAATACCACATCGATAGATGATGTGAATTGAGGATTTGTGTCCTTCTCTCTCTGTGTGTGTGTTCATTTTAACAAAGTAAATTCATTACGATGACGTTCAATTTCCAAAAGAGAATAGTTTCTGATGTATATAAGTAACCAACAGTTGCACACAAAATGTCATGCTGAAAATTGAACTGAGACCAAGTTTTGTAATATACACAGCAGCACACAGAGAATGGGGCACCCAGCGAAAGAGACACGATATAGAAAGACAAAGTTCATTTCAGTGGCTGTCGAAAGCAAAACTCTCTTCCGAGTCTGCCGCATTCATAGACACATACACATACAGTGCACACAAAATTCAAAAGCAATAAATATTAAATTGGAAAATATTGAAATAGCAAATAAGGTGTGCAACGTAACAGAACGTGTGTCCTTTGTGCCGTCAACTGGAGCCGTGCAAACCGATTAAACTGATTCAATTTGTTAGCCACAACACAAGATAAACTACATGATTGAACCCATAATTCTATTACATGCCGTTTCTTTGGCTGGCATCATATATCTCCGGAGTTCCTGATTTTGTTTCCGTTCGTATTGAATACACAGCGAGAGAGAGAGAGAGAGAGAGAGAGAGAGAGCTGCAACGACCACTTGGTCGTTGGTTGTTTTGTTAAGCGAAACAAAAACATAATCGAAGTCTACCAGTTAAAAGTCGACAACACCAGACATAAACTTTCATTTGAACCGGTTTGGATTGCTTGCACACGACAACATACAACATCCATTTCCATCGTTGATGTCGATTTTTGTTGGATACATCTTTCCTTCTTTTCTCTGTTCTGTTCGGTTGGTTCTGCCTGCCCTCTCGTCATTCGTTACCTGTTGTCGTTTTATTTTTCTTTTCTCTCCTGGTTTTATTTTTGTTTCACATTCAGTTCTTTTGCAATTTACCACTGGTGTAAAAGTTGTTTGTTACTTTTGTGTCGCTGTGCCAAGTTTTTCCTTATTTCTTCATTTCGACTAACCGCAACTATCTTTTCAGTCGCTCTCTCACTCTTATCCCGACACGAATGAAGATGAAGACACGACCCATTCAATCGCTCAGATGCACACGCAAAGCAAAAACTTTATCAATTTATTGCCATCGATCACATACGTATCGGTCGTGAGCCGAACTGAGCCTGACTATTGTACCATTCCGTTGGTCGCTATGACTTTTCTCGTTTGAAATTATTTTCATTACAAGTTCAAATCGACCGGATTTAAATTTATAGCCATCGTTGATTTAACTTTTGACTTCACCATAAAAGCACAACGAAACAAACCAATTCAATTCGTTTTGCAGTACACAGTTGAATCCATAAATATGTATACACCAATAAAAAAAAAATGAAACCAAGTTAAGCTGTGAGTTAATTTTTTGCAATTTTTTTGCAATTTGTTTTATTTATTATTTAAGAGCGTCTCATCTCGAATCGCCCAAAATTTTATTCAAATATATAATAATGTTATCGTTACACTAAATTTATATTTACAGGCATAATATTCATCATCAATTCTAATTTATTTACAGTTTTGATTGGATTAATGTTTGTAGTTTGGATTTGAAATGATAACAACATTTTTTTGGTTGTTGAAAAAACGTGAGAGAAATCATTTTGAAAAGAAAAATATAAATAATCATTATGCCCCGTTTAATTGGTATGATTTTACGTGTGTGTGTGTGTGTGTGTTTATTTAGAACATTGTTTATTGTTTACATCTATTACAATATCTGGTTGAATTCCAATCATTTTTCTTCATGTTCATGTTTCTCAAAACGTCTTAACATCGTTGCATTGGATACAAAAATACACAAATTTACAATATATTCTGTTGTGTGCTGCTTCTGTCAAGCACCTAAATTTATTCAAATTCAGACGAAAAAAAAATAGAACAAACAGAAAATCAATTTAACCACCTTTCAGCTAAATCAGTTGGTTCCCACACCAAATATATACACTTCCTGTAGAATACGTAGAGCAATAAATTGAGGGAATTAATTTATTTTGTATGAGTGTGTTTGTTGTGTTATTAATGCCAAATAAAATGCATATTTTGTTGTTGGCCAATTTAATTTGCATTTTGGAAAAATATGGCGGAATTTATGTTTTTAAACCAAAGTTTTTAACAGATTTTATGAGATAGTGATTATTGGTTGGTCGAAAAACTAGTTAAAATTATAGCACTTTATGCGAATTTTTATTCAAGCGCGCGCTTCATTTTTCCTATAACAATAATGGAGTAAATACCTTTTAGGTACTCAATTTAAAGTATTATTCATTCCATCACTTTGTTTATTTAGTACAATTATTTTTTGTTAGATTGGGCATTTTTTCATTGTTAATAGGGGAGGGGAGGGTATGAATTATCCAGCACCTACATTTTTCCATGCAACAGTGATTATTTAAATGGTTTTTGTTGTTGTTCTGTTGTGATATATGAAATATGAATATGTTGGGCGAACCATAACTTGGTACAGCATTGTTGTTACCGGTTGCCCAGAGCTTTCCGGTATAAATCAGTACAATATTTCACAATCATATAATATTTACACTCATATAATAATAAATTGTTCATTTTAAATCTCTTCACACAATTTTCAATACCTTTTGGTAGCCTGTTGTTTTATTTTATAACTCTGTGGAAAATTATACAGATTTGTTGTATGATGATTTTTCATGAGTTTTATATGAATTCAATCTTTTTTTTATTCTGTCGCGTTTATTATGTACACATTACAATCTCTATTTTTTTTTATACATAAGTCATAAATTTTGAAAATATTTTATTTTCAACGGAATGACACCCTCGAGAGGGATTGCAGCTGCTAGTTCCATGGCGTTTGTTGTTGTCGTTTTTTTTATATTTTTGGAGTGCATATGATGCGCATGTACCTATCGCTGCAGTTAAATAAATATATATTTTACTTTATTCATTTGTTATTTGGTATTTTTTTTTCTTTGTCCTCTCTCTACTTTACATAGCCTTGTTTCCGATGTTGATTACATCTAGAATCCACTTGATTGGAAGAATATGACATGTGATTTACATTTGGTTGTCTGTGTTATTTCTGTTGTTTTTGTTTTGCTGAAGAAATTAATAAGTGCGTAAAAATGTGTTATGTACATTAAATGTTGGGGGGAGACACGAGTTCCTGGAAGTGCACGAGCTGAAAGTTCTAAGCCATTTCCGCAATACCTAGTTTCGCTAAATTGGCTATGGTTGTTGGATCGTTTGGCTGTAGCTGTAGCGCTTCTTTGTAACTAATGGCCGCCTGAATCGGACGTCCAAGCAAATGAAGAATGGCACCAAGGTTTGTGTGCGCTCTTGCATCATCGGGTCGTAAGCGAACCGCCTGAAAAACATTCAAAAAATAGATGACATTCATTAAAGCAACCGTCAAACAACGCATGACATACAAAGCGTTTCTATTTTACGCACCGTTCGATACCATTTTTCAGCTTCATTTTTTCTATCTAGTAGGCGGAGAGCTGTAGCAGCTGCTACAGCCAGTGAATAATCGTTTGGCGATAGCTCAGCCGCCTTTATACGCTGTTCACATGCTTCTTCATTTCGTAACATCGAACTTAGGAATTCAGCTGGAAATGTAAACGACACAAAACAGAGAAAGAACACACGGAAACGTTAGGAATTTGCCGGAAAAACTATTACTGTGATTATACACAAAAATACTCACCATAATGATGCCGAACGCTCGAATCATCCGGAGCTAATTTCAGTGCACGCTTGAACCACAATTCAGCTTCTGTCGTTCGACTACTCTGTAAATGCACACGATAAAAGAGAATTGAGCATAAAGTTTTACCATAGCGTAAGCATTCAATCGAGTTGTGAGTGAATGATGAACTTACGTTTCGAGCCAACATTGTTCCATAAGACACATGCGTTGCAACATGATCGGGTTGCACCTCCAGAGCGGCTTGATGGAAACGCTCTGCCTCTGACCATTGATTCATTCGAGCCAGTGTATCACCAAGCCTTTGGTAAATACTCTGCAAACGCAAACGACATATATATTTCAGATCGGGGAAATCTCAATTGAAAATTTTCCAATGAAAAATGATGAAATTCCATAAACATGGAAAGAGACCTTACCTGTGGTGGATAATTTCGTGGTAAACTGTGCAATGCCTCCCGATAAACTGACAATGCACGTTGCAATTTCCCTTGCTCTGCATACAAACTGCCCAATTGTACCAGCATTGACATTCTGGCATTATCGTGGGCGGTACGATCTCGTAAACCATGGCCATCCAATTTCGAACCTTCACGAAGAATTTTCACCGCCTCGTTGCAACGACCCAATGCGATGAACGATGTTCCCATATTCAAATAAGCCACTGAATTGAAAGAAAAAAAACAATTTTTGGTTTTCAATACAATTTCGATTGAGTCCGTGGATTTTAAAACATCAATCGATATACTTACATGCCAACGATGGTCGATAGTGGATGGCGTTTTGGAAGCAATCGACAGCTTCTTTGAATTGTTGGTTATTTTGGTACAAAATGCCCCTGAAAAATTAAACAATGGGCAAAACACTTAGTTAGTCTCATATATTCCGTAATACATTTTCGATTAGGATCTAAAGAACTCATTGAGCAAAAATCACAATAAAACAAGCAACAAATGTATCATCTTCTCACATCATTTACTTGTCGCTTCTTTCCCCCACTTTGAAAATTTATCATTCGTTCAAACGATATCAATATCGTTACATAGTAAAAATGTGTTCGCACGAATTGTTCATGCTTTGCGATAATTAAAAGTGATGTGGATATGCGATTGCTGGTTCTTTTGTGTGTTCACAAACAGAAATTACAGTCACACTTCCGGCTCAGGTGGATTGAATTAATCAAAATGCTCGATTCAGGAGTGTGATAAATTTTTCATCTTTCTATGACATTTGAAGTATGAATATACGAAATGAATTCAATTTGGCAGCCCATTAATTTCCTATTCTTGCAGCCCCAGTCAAATGTTTCAGCTTTTATGTCGCCAAACATCGAAAAAAACCGTCGTCGTCGTCGCAGTTTGCAAGTCGCATGCAAATAAACACAGTTTAATACGTAATTATGGAGCATTCCTTCCTCGGTTGCGACTCCAATTTTAAATGAATCGGACTTTGTATTTACCACCGTTTCTTATTTATTCATTGAAATTTACGCAGACGCAATCGTTTAAATGACGAAAGGAAACACACGGCAATTATTACCGTGCGCATTTATTTCGATTGTGTCGTTTCTTTTTTTCTCTCTTCTTCACCATTTGGCCTTCTACTGCGTCAGATATATCAACGATGTATTTTTATTTCCCTTTTCCCATATTTCCACTTCCAAATGGAGTCGTGTGGTGGCGGCTATACAGTAACCCACAAACTACATCGAAAATGAGTGGGAAAATGCTCATTATTCTATACCATCCATACAAAAAGCCTTATATAAATAGTGTGCCGTCATTATGTCGACAATCAAAAATCTTGATAAAACGAATTTAATGAAGCCAATGGGGAATTGTGATGAAACTTTGTGTACTGTATGAGTCGCTCTTTCTCTCTTTCTCTTTCTCTCTCTTTCTTACCATCCTTCTTGCTTATAGGCTTTGAATTTTTGCTGTGGTGCGTGACACATCACATGTTATTGCCTGCCAACACCGAACGAAAACCACCACCACTACCATGCGAAATGTTTCATTGGATTGTTGTGCTCTGTTACATAAGATAAGACCATTCCTATTAACAATCACCACGTTTTTCGCTCAATTTGCTAACGCTTTCGTCTGTCGCAAAATGTCGCACCAAACACGAATACTCACACACCAATCGAGTAGGGGAAAAATTCTAGGAAGAAACGATCTCTGCTTGGGTCCAGTGTACAATCATGCATATTTAGTAGTTTGTCAGGCGATCAAATTAAAACAAATTGATTACATTTGTTTAACATACAACGGAATCGAAACCGTCTGCTCTAATATCTGACACGTTCGATCCATTTTTTTTTCGCTTACTATTTGTCAGCCCAAGGTTTTTCTGTGTTTATTGAATTTTCGGGCTGGTAACAAATACGCCCATGCTCTAGTAGCAATCCATGTCGTGATTTGCATTTTACTCGAATTTATTATAGAATTCATTAAGGCGGCGGCAAATCTTTCAGCGACTGTAATGGATTTTTGTGTTGAAAGCTGTGAACGTCAATTTTGATTATTCCCAAAGAAAAATTATGCAAAAATATTCCAATATTGAAAAGTCCGGAAAAATCCAATTGCGAGCGCCCGCGCGCACGCAAACACACATAGGAACGGGAAAAAAGACAGACGAGATGATTGGAATGGCGCACACTTCGAAACTTCCGTTATGAATTGCAGCACACGAGAAATTGATGAAGAAATCATTTGTGTTTACATAATGACATGAAAATCGATCGTTTGCATTTTGCCAGCTTGTGAGTGTGTCAGTTCATCCGGTTGGAACAAAAACATCCTACAAATTAAACACAAATTTATTCATTGGAAACATTTTGATCGATTTTTCACATGATTTACGAACTTCATTATTAAACGCCACACTTTGACTGTCATGTGGAAAAGAGTCGTCAGTGACGACTCGTCACAGTGCATTTGAATGAACAATGATAATTGATTCGATCTTCGTTCGGTTGATGGAAGGATTCGATTTTTTCAATGGGTTTGACTCATTGCAAGACATAAACACACAGTAGTTTGCCAACGGTATATATTCCGAACGTATCCACAGTGTAGATTCCACACCCTCGGCGTCTTCGTGTCAATCGAAAAGTGTGAAACAAAGCGAACAACGTGTGAGCCAATTCAAACACATGCTGATTGTTGTCTGCCACCTTTGAATCGATAGATCGTTTTAATCAGCCATTAGCGCTTAATAAAAGTTTATGTTATTAGAAGCAATATCGGGCGATAAGATTAAAGTACACAGACATAACCAACCAATGCCATTCAGCCATATATCGGATTATGTTGCAACATATTTTATTTCCAGTGAATTGATTTTATGTTTAAATACGCGCGCACACGATTTGTTTCTCATTTGCGCTATATGTAAAGCGATCAGAAAAGTCTCTATGCGAACGCAAACGAGAGACGCGCTATATTTGCTAATATTAGATACTCACAAATTATAATGAACATCCGCCATATTCGGTCGATGTTTCAAGGCGAGCTGCAGCGATTCCTTTGCTTCTTCATATCGTCCTTGTGAGCTGAGAACGCTGCCCAAGTTGCCCAAGGCTGAAAAAATAACGGAAAAAATCAACGAAAATTGATGAGAAAAAAATGTGCCAGGAAAAAAACATCCTTTTTTGTTGATTTGTGAAAATTTCGTTTAATTGGTGGATTTATTTGTAAGTCCATTTTGTATGTGCAGAAACGGTTCGTTTATTTTTTGCGGAAAAAAATTCGCGAACATGCCATAATTAAAGAGAAAAGTGTGCAGAAAGCAGAAAAAAAAATGAGAACTGCTAATTTGCATTAAGGGTGGAACCATCTTGAGAAATTCGGCCTTGTCGCTTTGTAATAAAAACTTTTGAAAATACACAACAATTAAATGCCGAGAACAGAGGTAGGAGAATAAAAAATGTAGGGAATTTTCTTCTGCGAAAAGTGTTACTCGAGCAAATGCCACTGCTGCCCTAAAGTATCATCTTGAAATAAAAGGATGCTTATGTGAAAATGACTCGGTTTTAAATTAGCCTGGATTGGCTTTGTTTTACACTCAGGCAGTTTACAACATACTAATGACTGCGTTGACGCTGAAAAATTAAGCTACAAGACATTACTCGTACATCTTTTTTCATCGTCCATCCGCCGAGAAACAGATCGTAAAAATCGGACCGAATCGTTGTAATAATCGTATTTGCGATCTGATTTGCGAAAATCGTTTTTCATTTAAATGCAATGTTTTTGCTGTGTCCTGCCTTTTTTGCGTTCAAACTTAAGCCTTTTCGAAAATTACTAGATATTTTTTTGTCACAGATTTTGCCATCCGATACATGGCAATTTGGTGGATTTTGCATATAATTTCTTTGCATGATTGATGGCGATATCGGGACGATGATAATATTTTTGTTGAATTGAATATATAACTGAATGGATTAAAAACAATCAGCGACGGCTTAAAAATGAAAAACGAACATAATATCGCTATCATTTTGCCACCAATTAAAACCACACATGGTATTTATTTCAGACATACACCGATTTTTATTACAAAATCCAATTTGAATTGTAGGAGGGTGAGAGACAGACAGAGAGGAAGAGATTTGGCAATCGCACGCGCAAAATTAATACGTATTCATAAATAAATCAGTGGGAAATTGAAATCAAACACGTTGTTTTTTCGCTCGCTCTGATCGCTTCTCATTAATAAAACCAGATGAATTAATTAAATATGGTGAACATAATGATGCGATTAAGAATAAAATCAGATATTTAAATTGAACACCGCATCGAAATCAAAGCAAAAACAGAATAAAAAACGAATGAAGAGAAAAATGAGGAGGGTAGAGACAGGAAGAGCAAGTGAAATCGTGTTTAAAATATGCACGGGTCATTATGTTACGCAAATCCGGATATTTTTCCAGATAATTCACTGAAATCAAAACAAATTACGATTTGTTTATTCGAGTCTGAGCACCATTACCATATACACCCAGCACAGAAGTAAAAACCAACGATAATCCGGTCAAATTCGCAAATAATTATAGAATCAATAGAAAGCGATTCCAATTAATTTTCACGATGAAAAAACGAAAAGTACGCGTCAAAATGATTCAAGGACGATGGAGCCAGCAATGTGGAATATGCTTTGGTGTACATGTAAAATATGTGCGAAAAGAAAATTACCTTTTGCTGGATTAACGTTGATTGCACTACGGTACAAGCTCTCTTCATCGCGCCAATCAACATTCCGGTTAATTGTTTTCATACTGTATGCCGTCACCGTCAAACCGATGCACAGCATAACAGCAAACCGTTTCCGTGGGCTCCTTAATGATCCCACCCGATTTGTGTCCATGAGTTTGCTCACGCCTAAGCCGATTAGTAAACAGTAACCGACACTTGGTAAATATAAAATTCGTTCGGCAACGACAAAACCAACGTAGAAGAATAAATTGGCGGCGGGTAAAAATGGTAGTGCTAACATCGCTACGGATAGCATAATAACGGCTGATGCGGTTGTCGATGGATGTGATATATGCAGATGATTTGTAGTCGAATCGATGTGAACACTTGATGCCGATGCTGTTGCTGTCGCTGCTGCCACAATCGTTTTCGCCGATGTGCCATTGGCCGAAATCTCTAGATTTTGACAATTATTCGCTTGATTTGCAATGCTTTTTGCAGTCGATGAATTTTTGCTTGGGCTATTTTTACAAGTCTTGTTCGAGCCACCAGTTAAAATGCTCGGTAACATACCATTCGTACCGCATGCAGACGATGTTGTGTTGTAGATCGAGGCGGTGGTCGAACTCGAAGTAAATGTGTGATGCTGTTGTTGGTTTTGCTGGTGGCGTCGTTTGCGTGGCGGTGACGGTGAGTGACGAAATTCGGGGCATTCACACCGTACCAACGGCACATTATTATTATTAATTGCACGACAAGTGCTCGAATGGCGCACATTTGAACCTTGCTTACAAACTTCACACAATTGTTCCGTTGTTTTAGCTAAATAACTGCTATTATTAATTGCATTATTACTGCTATTATTGTTACAACTTGTACTCAAACTAGAACTATGCAGTATGTTGTTATTCGCGTTCGTCGTTGTCGTCGTCGTCGTCGCATTCACAAAACTACAACTGCTACCATTATTATTGTTACAATTTGTCGGGGGTAATTGAAATGCTTTGCGTTTCTTTATGGTGCGCGGTTTGCGATAGTGTACATTTGCCATCGCCTGCACCAATTGCATTCGTCGACGTAAATGATGCACATTAATTGCCACAGCAAACACAAACGCACTATAAAATATCAGTGAGGCTAAATTACGGAAATCACATAAGCTATTCAGTCTTGGTATCGCGTCCATGCCCCAATCAAAGCTCAGTGTCATTGGATACAGTAGCAGCTGAAAATTGAATGCAGGCAAATAGAGGAATGTTAAGAAGCGCGTGAGTCGTGACGGTGATTTAGCGATTGGATTGTCGGCGGTGGAAAATTCGATCGCCGGACCTGGCAGCGATAAACGCAAATGAAGAATCACAACGGTCGCAACTCCAATGATGGTGAGCGATCGCATTCGATGCTGGAAATTAAATTTTGTGAGAAAAAAAAAAACCATATTAATTTCAATGTGCATTAGACAGGGCGATATTCACCGTACAAAGTATCTAAAAAGTGTTTTGTCTATTGCGTAAAATAATTTAATAACAATTAGGCTTACCTTATCTCGATAGCCGTTTGTGGCCCGAATCACATCGTAAAATGCACATAAAACCAATGATGTGGCAGCCGTTTCTTTACAAAGCACAGCCGCTATTGACAGTACAATTGCACCAATTAACGCTGACCAACATCTTTTATCGTTTTGTTCTCGCCACACAACGTGCTTGCAATATGTTAAAAAAGCCAACAGATAAAAATTACACGATGCCAAATCGGCTCGACCAACGACACCGGCCACAGCTTCCGTGTGAATGGGATGCGATGCAAACAATGCACCCGTTACAATCGTTCCCCATATCGATTGTAATACGTGACGAGCAACTTTCACCACGAGACCCGTTGCCAGACAATGCAACAGAACGTTGACCAAATGATATGAGTATGGTTTGTAACCGTCAAACAAATGATTTAGCTTAAAACTGAGTACACATAATGGGCGATACGATCCGTGCGATCCGGAATCCGTTAAGGGCGTTCCCCAAAAATCATTTTGCACAATATGCTTCCATGGCGTTGTATGTACTACATCAGGATTACCCAATATCGCTCGCCTGCAAAGTGAAATGGAACGAAGAAAAAAAATATGATTGAATAATTGAAATATTTTTCAAAACATTCATTATACATTGAAAGGAAGAATAAGAATAAAAAAATCGATTCATTCAGGTAAAATTGTGTTTGATTCGAAGTAAATGTGCATGGAAAAGCGCTTAACATTTACGTCGTCTTCAATTTACTATTCGATTAAATATATTTTGAAAACTTCTTAAACCAGCACACATTCCCATCATAACTCATCATAACTGTATTGATAATTGAAGCAAAGTGTACGGCATGCACATAAACTAATAGCCGTAAATTGATGTAGACTCAATAAATGTTATCGATTTATTGGAGGAGGTTTTCAACACTCACACACACACACACAAACACATTTTACTTTGCCAACTATCTTCGGCACAATCCAACATTCTCACCATCCATAATGTACGATTTTGCCGCGGTTCGTGATAAAATTCCATGATTCCATAACATCAACACATGTGGTTTCTGTGCGAAAACCATTTTAGTCGTTCGTTTTTTCTCGCGCTGCTCACGATTAAGGAACACATCCTATAATATATACGTATGTATTCCACACATATACTCTGCTATTCCATATAATAGGAGCACCATACGCGAACATAGTGGCACACATTTACACATTTTTCCAAAGAAAATGAATGCAGCAGTTGGTTTGCGCCTTATATGTGCCTTGTGCCCTGTGAGAGAATCTTGTCTTCGCTGCGAAAAACCCACATCCCATACTATTTCATATATAAACAAACGTATAGACAACACACATTCGCATACAGATATGTATGTGGCGGGCTATATATTTTATCATTCGACTTAAAATCATTAGAAAACGATGCCAAGAGATTTATCGAATGTTCAATCTTGTGTCTGAAGCTTAACAGCTGCTTCGTGCTGCGTTACACACACAATATTTTTGCTAAAACTACGCTCAACTAATTTTTTGTGTGTGTTTGTGTGTATGTGAGTTGGTTTTGGGTTTTCTATTCACAAATATTCAGATTCGAATGAATGAATTTTCGGGCTGCTGAACCAATGCGTGTGCAATATAACGCGTTCACACTAATACACATACATGGAAACTCGAAATTCAATTCCGGTTCCAAGCAAAACCATCGTTTGCGCTTTGCGGTTTTTAGCTACAATTAAAATTCTATCCGAGAATATGGATGTGTTTGCTTTTCGAAACGTGATGAATGGCATGAGTCGTAGCATGTCGTTGCTGCCATCGCCGTCGCTGCCACGTTCATTCGTTTCATTTATTTGGTTGGGTGTTGAATTTTCTATGTTTTCATTTTGACAAAGTGAGCAAATTACATATAAATATGATGCCAGTGCATTTGTTGATGTATGACAATCAATTAATTAACAGTCGGTGGCAACAACCAACCAGTCAGCCGCTGGCTTTTCCGTTTTCCAAGAAAATTGAAAAGTGCCACATTGTTCAGCTAACTATTAATTGGCAACGCTCGAACGCAATATACAAACTTGTGATGATTTATAGACGATCGGCATTTTCGGTCGCAATTTCGATCAGCTCGTAAAATGGCGAGAATGTGTGGGAGACAGAGCGAGCAAGAGAATTGCTGAACATTCATTGTGACACATTTTATGTGTTGAACATTGGTCGACGACTACCAAGTCAATGCATAAAAAATAATTAATGATTAGGCGAAAAGCAAATTTAGTTTAATAATCATTAGAAATTCATTATTTTTGACGAATAACTTTCAAAGGAAAACCAACGACCACACACTTTGTGTGTCACATTCCAATAGGGGAGGAAAAAAATGAAAAAAACACAGAGCGAGCGAGACAAAAATGAAAGTCATTCATTCATGCGAACAAAAATGCGCTCACATTCAAGTGAATATATGTGTACTTGCTCGTTCTTTTATGCTTTCCGCTCTTTTTAATGTCGGCAAGTTCATCAATCACTGTAATGAGTTCAACTTTTATATCTTTGACTCCTTCGCCGAAGTACATCGCTAATTTTCTTTTATCATTATTTAATGATGCATTCTAAATGGGTCTGTTTATTATGTGCTAGCGTGTTTTGTTCTTATTTTCTTCATCCCTCTGTCTCTGTCTCTCTCTATTTATAAACTCAAAAGTCTGGCTGGAGAAGTGGCATATTGAAAATATGAGTGAGTGCGCGCCATATATACAGAGCGATTGCTAAGTGCTCGACGCTCCGACACGTGTGCCAAATGATGTTTATCATAATTAGGAAGGAAAATGTTGGCGTTTGAATCATATCGGCATATCTATTTGCATAGATTCACTCACGAGATTCAGATTCAACTGCTCTTTTCCGTTTGCCACTGAAAATCATTTCCATTTTTTTTTTTTACAGGAAAAAAAGAGAAAAAGAAATGCGCATTTAATGACTTTAGTAAACAATAGGTGTGTTACTATGTTCAAAATATACTTTGTGCTTGGCAGGCGACTACAGAAGCTATGATGATTTCGACGTGGGTTGCAAACATTGAGCGACGGAGCTTATGCAATCAAGCGCTTTAGCCCGCATCTAAAGTGATTTCTGAAATGGTGTGCCAAACGGGAAATTGAATGGACCATAATTTTCAATTCGGGTTGCATCTCACTATCAGCGAACGAGCAAGTGAGCGAGCGAGATAGCTAGTCGAGACTTGGCAACACTATCAATCAGTGCATCTGCATATGCTTGGCATGAATATGTAAGTATGTCAAATGACAACTGAATTACTGCAATGGAATTGGAAATTTACCGAGTAAATTACGCGCTTGTTACCGAAAAACGGGAAGCAAAGTCAAATGCAAGCGCTGTGTACAGCTTGAATATATCTGGCATTATTCGAAATATGTTTTTAAAAACCTCCGAAATGAGAGTAAGTCACTTGATGTGTAGAGAGCGCGCACAGTGCACACTGCAAACACACGAGCATACACTTCAATTTCAATTCATGCATCTGATGAAATTAATGGTGGGGATCATCGTTACGGCGTTCGAGAGCAGAATGAACATATTTTGGCGACATTATTAAATGCATTGAATCCTTGAATGTTTGTTCCAATGAGAGAGCATAACCAGATGACTGTCGGACATTAAAGTCTTGCATTAGGAAGACTATGTGCTTTGCAATAGATGAAAATAAATAACATGGAATTTATATTTGGATAGTGTGTGCTGGAATTTGTTCGATGTGGATTTGGATTTTTAAATAACCGATGCTTGGTAAATCGATTTTTATTGCTAAACTCTCTCAACAATGGAGAGGAAAAAAGTGCAAGTGCACCATGGCACTATGCTACATGCATCGCAACTAGCATTGCAATCATTTTCGGTACTATGGATCTTTTGTTGTTGAGTACAAAGCATCGGCTGCTTATTCGGTAATGTAACGGTGGCGAACTCTACCCCGAAAAATCGACGCTTGAGAATGTAATGTATTGTGACAATATAAATGCGGCTTTCTGTAAGTAGACTCTACAACATGTTTAAGATTTGCATGCAAAAACGCAACTGTGACTTTCACATATATTTAAGCCGAACAAAGAGCAGCAGCAACAGCAGTAGATAAGTCGATTTTTACCATTGTTGCAAAAGAAATGGCCGATGCTGTATACGCTACATATATAATGCACGTATTGCGACATTTTGGTGACATAGATTTTTGAATTTGTCTGTACAGCAGTGCTGTGATGGCGGTGACGATAATCAAATCATGAAAAAGTGTTGATTCAATTTGTGTGTTGGTGCAACGATTTCGTACTTTTTTTTCGTTCTGATGCTACCACACACATAGATATCTATATAGTATATAGATGTGCACGAGAAATTGGTCTAAACTCGGTTAAGAAGAAGTTTTGAGCTTCAGCCATCGACGGATACGTCACAATGTTTCCTTTGGACATTTTTTGCATCGAATTTTTCTTCTCCATCGTTTTCTTTCCTCTGTCGTTTTATCCCGACCATAATAAAATGGTGGTTGCGTCGTGTGTTCTTTTTTCTACATTTCACTTTTGCAATTCGTTTACGCTTTCGATGTTTTTTCATGTGACAGGACCTCAGCATACATTGGTCTTATACATAATTTTTTTCGCTTCTTCTTCTTCTTCGATGATTTATTTTCTATCACTTTCGACTGTCACTCGTTTGCGCGTCTCAGTGTCAGTTGCAATCAGTCAGGGTATATGTGATCGAATTCGCTCGTGCAATTCGCGTGAAACTTCGCAATCGTGCGAGTAGTCTCCGTGTTCCTTGCTCTCTTTTCATCAGCACACTTTTTTGTGTGCCCATGTGCGCTCATCGTTTTCTTTATCTTATTCCGGTAAGTACATTATGGCTTCAAAATATATAAGTTGTGCATTATACATAATGGATTTCCATTGATGACGCTTTGTTCAAGGAGTCATCGTGTGTGCTTTTTTTTGCTTCTCTCCTTGCTGATCCGTCCTCTATCTCCCCCTTGGTTTGTTGCTCAGGCCTTCGATTACATTATTTTCAATTCACTGTTGCCATCAATTCCATCATGCTGTACGGATATACTCAATATTCTTTTTCGTAGTCAATCCACAAGCACTATGCAACGTGAAGCCAACGGTAAATTCGATCAACAGTCACAACGCAGCGAGGATGAAACGAACTACGAGCGAGAGTGAAAAAAGAAATCAATATGAAAATTGCGCAACAAAGTGGATGGCAAAATACGCACCGAAGAAGCACCATACTGATGGAAATGTTAATGGCAAGGGCAGAAAATAATAAAACGGAATGGCATCGTAGCTAACCTTAGCCGCACTCTCACCAACTAGGTATCGATTTAAATTTCAATTTGGCGAGGGATAGAAGAAAAAAGTTGCTCATGCTAAAGTTCATACAAGTCAAAACAGTAAATTATTTCACTCTTTCAGTGATTGCATTGTGTCTTCATCGTTTTCACGATTCAAACCTGCATTGACATTCACTAGCCGAAGCCAAATGCAAACTAAT